AAAAAAAAAAAAAAAAAAAGTGACAAGTTCTTAAGAAATGCAAGGAATTATTTTAAAATAATTTTTAACTTTTTCTTTCCACCCCGCTTTTAAAGGAATTGGGTTTATTAATTTCCAAATATAGTTGTCTGTTTAAAAGTGTATTTGTCGCAATAGCAAAAAATATAAGATTTCTTTTGTTGGCATATTATTACTATTTGAGACTTCGTTTATTTCCTTATTAATATAAGTACCTCAAGTAGAAAAGATTTTGAAGACTAACAGTTAAAACTTAATGTTATAACAAAGTCTTTGAAAAAGAAATATACTTTCTAAAAGGTAGCAGATCCAAAGATTAAATCACTCTCTGTTGCAGTATTACTGTTACGGATATATTTAATGTGTCATATATGATAATATATAACTTAATGTGTAGTTTCCTTAATGTTTTTTTTTGAAACCACTAATTATAAACATCCTTAAAAATTTCTAGAAGTGGTAAACCACATTACATTTATCTTTGTAAAAAGATTTATGGTAACAGGTTTCTTACTTGACTTTTGTAAATAGTGTGTTACATCTTATCTTTGTCTTTATTTCATAAGCAATTTGAACTCACTGGACTGCTTTGTCATAGTCAGGGCAAGGTGGATTCTTTTTATACCAGGGATTTGCATTGTGAATTACATTAAATTATTTGGCAATTTATAATTTATTATTACTTAAAATCAAATGTACTTTCAAACTGTATTTAAATTGTGTTTTGTTTAGTTTTTTTTTTTTTAATGAAAAGTTACTCGGGATCCGTGGGGATTTTTGGAGAAGGAAGAAAGGAGGAATAAAAAAGTTTAAGGGTTAGAAAATAAGGGGCTGCTCAGTAGCAGACAGTCGAATGGTTCGTGTGGAGGCCTGAATCAGGATAGTTACACAGGCAGCAGTTAGATTAAGGTGATGCTCAGTTTTTCTCAGTTCTGTAAATCAGATAAAATCATATGACCAAAATGAAATCATGTCTTCATGCTCAGAAAACTATTTCTATTTTGGAATACATGTATCAGGCCTTTAAAACAATGCATTGTTTTAGAATTGTTCAGTTTTATTTCTCAGGGTTTTAGAGTTGAGGATTTAATTTATTTCTTTGTTTTCTTGGCAGAAATGGGCTTTGTTTTAAATGTAGAGAATATGAAGGCTCCTTTGTATAGTTTGGTTAAATAGTAAGAGAGTTTGAATCTCTTCATAGACTATAAAATATTTTTTAGAGAAACCAGAGGATGTTTTTGTTTTATGTTTACTGTATACGAGAAAGCTCGCCCTTGGGTATATGACATATCCAAAACTGTTACAGTTTTTCTGATCTGCTGTGATCCATTTAAAATGTGCTGTAGTTTGTTGTGCTGACACTGTTCCTGCTGCTGATACTAACAGTGCTGTCTGGATTTGATGCATGTGGTTGGGAGTTATGGAAAAGCAGTCTTCATTAATGCAGATAAAACCAGTTTACACATGAAAATTTAGAAAGATGACATGTTTGAGTCTGAAAGTAGTGACTTGAGCACCTCTCAGTATTATGTTTGTAAAAACCATTGCTTTTGAATATAAAACTAATAAGCACTTTAAAAAGGAAAAGACAGCCTTTATTTTTCTGGTGAGTTCATTGCTTTTTAGTAGTTGCATCAGCATTGATAGATTTCAAAAATAAGTATTAAATGCTGCACTAAAGTTCATAGATACTTCATTTTGTAGTCCTGTCAAAAAGTTGTCTATGTATGCACAAGAATATCTTTAAATTTTTGACATTTTAAAATAAAGGAAATTAGAATGATGTTTGTATGGATTGATTTTTAAATACTTTTTTAAAACTTTGGCTGTAACATTACATCTCAGTTTTTCATCTCTCAAGATTTTGCTGCAAATAAAATGTATTTTTGGATTACTTATCTTTTGTTGGATTTGAGAAATAAAAATAGCATCAGATATTTTAAAGCGTAACTCTTTAAATCAGTGAATAACACCAGAGTTTAGTTGGTAAATGTTACTTCTGTTGGGGTGAGTATTTTCTGATTTTTCTGGGATGGACTGACTGTACTTTTTACTGTAAAATAGTCTTTAGTGAAATGTTTTCAGGGAATGATGGTTATAGTTAGGCTTATATTCATGTCAAAGACTAGACCTCTGTAGCAATGGCTTTTGAGAACAAAATCATTATTATTGACTTATATAACAATTTTAAATGAGGAAGAACTGTGTTCCAACTACCTGTATTTCCTGAACTAGAAGAACCTTCGAGATCACCTGGTCGTAGAACCCCAGAGCTGGGTGGATAACCTGATCCAAATGGATGCCCCTACAAACCACAAGTTTCAGAAAATAGAGCTGCAAGGGGCTGCTCATTCACAGACAGTCGAGTGAGTGGTTCATGTTGGAGGCATGAGTCAGAATCCTATAAATGACCTTGTGTTTTGTCACTTGAGTTGTCATCTAGGAAGTTGTCTACTCTGTGGAGGTTACTCACTGTAGCTGCTTCCCTAGGGTGCCAAAGCTGAAATTATAAAGAAAAACTCACAGATTTGTCTATGTAAAGATAAAATATTTCCATCATGTTTTAAACATGAGTAACCAAAAAGCCAACTAGATATTTTGTGCCACCTGAAGTACACACTAAAAAATAATCAGTTGGGAGAAGTAATATGCAACACATGACAAAATTCATCTTAATTTACAGTGTGCTTTAATGTGAATTTTAATTTATAGACTGTAAAGGATAATAACGAGTAAATTAGTCTCAGAAAAATCAGTAAAGGAAAAGAGTTCTTAAAGTTAGTGGCAATATGAATAGATGTTCAGTTAACTTAATGAGCCACACAAAATTAGCTACATGATGAAACTATGTCCTGCCGAATGGGTTACAGATATTAAGAGGAATGGTAATATCTTATTGAAATAAGAATAACACTTATGCAACAATGCAAATGGATACAAATTTTCCTGAAGGAATTATTTTTTGGGGATTGCACCTCTGGCCCTCACACTGTGGCCTTCCTTTTTGTTATTATTTATTTTGATAGAGCCTTCGTAAGTAGCTAAATTGCCTAAGCTGGGCCTGAAGTTCTTCTGTCTTAGTCTCTCAGAGTGCAGGGAGGACATTTTCTTTTATTTCCTTAAGCTTAATTCCTGAAAGCAGACTGACAGTCAAATGGGCACTGGTAAAAGCTTTTGTTGCTCATAAGTTGGGTTGAAGGTACGTTCTCTCTTGTTGCTGTTTGTTTTATTCCAGTACTGGGGCTCAAACCCAGGACCTTATCCTTGAGTTGCATTGCCAGCCCCTTTTAAGTCACTATGTGTGCTAGTCTTGCCGAAGCACTTAGTTTCCCAGACTGGATTTGAACTTTTGATCCTCCTGCCTCAACCGCTTAATGCTGGGATTGCAGGCATTTTCCACTATGTTCTGATGAAACACATTCTGACTCAGATCCAGTTTTACTCCTCCCATGATCTCTTGATGTCTTTTATCATTCTACTTCTGCTCTTCCCTTTTTTTTGTTTTGTTTTGTTTTGTACCGGGGATTGAACTCAGGACCTTGCACTTGTGAGGCAGGAGTGGGGCCACTGAGCTAAATCCCCAGTCTTCTTTCCTTTCCCTCCTCTCCCTTTTTTTTCTTTACAGTGCATAATAACTGGGGATTGAACCTAGGGCTTTCACTCTGAGCTACATCACCAGGCTGATTTAATTTTTACTTTGAGATGAAGTCTCGCTTAATCATAAGTTGCCTGGGTTGGGGTTGAACATTCTATCCTCCTTTCTCAGCCTCCCACCGTGCTGGGATTACAGGTGTGTGCCATCACCCCTGGTTTCTCCTTTGTCATTTACACCAGTAGTTCACTGAATGGTTTTGGAGTCCATGATACTATTTCTTTGAGAACAGATGACAAAATACATTCCTGAGCTACATTGTGTTATGTTGTAAGGTGGCCCTGTAGCAAGCCCATATAAAGGATGTGTCAGCCTTCAAGAAAAGTCCTTCAGCTGTATGGAGAGTACACAGTAAGGGGTAAAAATACAGCTACTTCATGGAAAGCGAGACACACTGTCTCACGTTCAGGGACCCTCTGGGTAAGCTCTGCTGGTTCCAGGCTGGAGCCAGTGCAGGCTCATGGGTGGCTATGCTAACACTCGCAACGCGGACCATGAGTGCTAGTGTTAGATTAGACTGTTGAAAAATATCAACTTAAAGCAGACAGTTGAAAAACACCACCATGATGCTTGTAACTGGTTTAATTCCTCTTTCCTCTTCAGTAATCCCACACATTACCTACTTATTTGCTGTAATGAACATGCCATTCAGCTGAAATAAGATTAACTGCTTAAACCGAGGCGTTAAAGGCAGAGAACTTTAATGCCGCTTTGTGTTTCACTGGAAGGTTCAGCAGTTAAACGATACGGTGTTGTTTCTTCCTTTGTAATCAAGATAGTTTTGCTTAGGATTGGGCTCCCCAGCTGATTCTCCTGATGGAACAGTTGAAGCAGCAAATTCATGTGTCTGGGTTACAGCCTGGCAGCTTAACAACCCTCGGCATCTAACCTGTCGGCCTCATCAGCACTCAAATTGCTCTGCTTTGTGAAGACCCCTTTGCTCGAACGGTGATGGAAATCGCACCTGCCATCAGACGACGGCAGGAAAATTGAAAAGGGGCTTAGGCGTGCATCTGGAAAATAGCACTGCGATGCCCCAGATGGGAGCAGGGTCTGGAAAATTAACCCACATTCCCCGGCGTGAGCGAATGTTAGCCTGTTCCCTGCGTCAAGGGAGCTTCTTCAGTGGAGCTTTTTGGACTGTCCCAGCCGCACTCATCTCTCCTTTCTTCAAGCTCTAATTATAATTATACTTCTC